ACGTGTACTTTATCTTTATTTTTAGTAATTATCATTGTGTTTGTTAGTGTTAAACCATCACATTTTAATGTAAGTAATTATAATATAAATATGTATGTAAAAAATTCAATACTTACGTGGGTTATTATTGTGAAGTCGATGTTGTTTGGTTCATAACACACGGATCGCTGATTTTTATACTTTTGGAAAAAGAGCACAGCACTCTCGTTAGCATACCATTATTATTTTACTCTTCCTAAAGAATATATTCTTTATTTCCTACAGATTGAGGATTTTTAAATCAAAAGCTGCTGTGACCGCAAAACTGAAGATATTGACAACTGTATCATTTATACCTACTGAAATTAAGTACTCGTTCAAACTAAATAAAGCAATAAACTGGTACTGGTAGTCAAAAAAATTCAAACTCTGAGAAGAAGACGCTTTAATTTTTCATCTGGATGACGCATGGATTAATTGAGGACATTTTGTAAGAACAATTTGTCAAGACAATGCTTAGACACAAAGTTTACCTACTGAATTATAATTTCTAACGATCAAGTCTCTCTTGGTTATGAACAATATCCAATTGGCTAACTAGTCATTTATCATTCATGTTGTAAGCTCACGTTGAAGTTTCCATTGAGTTGTAACTGTTTCCATTTGAATATCTTTTCCAATTTTAATTTTTTTAAGGGGGCTTTGTTATGATCAGTTTTTTTCTGTGAAGATAACCTTTTGATACTTTTATTTACAGGGCATTGTCTCATTTTGCCAGACAAGAAACAAAAGTTTATGCAGTGTTTGTAGAAGGGTATCATCACCGTTTTTGTAAACCTCATTGCAAATTTGATCAGTTCCTGGTAATCGAATATTCTTATGCTTTTTAATAACTTAAGCAACCTCCTCAATGATAGGTGGTCTTTCCTTTGGGTTTGAATAGACTCTAATTATTTCGATATACTAGGGTGTTATCTGCTTCTTGATGATGGCCATTAAATTTTGCGTCGAAAAATTCAACCCATCTGTTCAAAATTGAGGTCGTATCATTTAGGATATTTCCCTCTCTACTTTACTTACAGCTTCCTATTCTTGGCTTAAATTCTATGCTCATTTTGTTTAGATTTCCGTAGAACTTTTGAGTTTCATGTTGATTTCTTAACCCTTCTATGCTTCCTAACTGTCCTCTTCTTCTTCCTTCTTGTATGTAGGCTTTAAAGCCTGTTTATTCTTCAATATTAGCCTCCTAAGTTGTTTAAGTTTTTGTGCTTGTGCTTGTGCTGTGCAGTGTTTGTGCTGGCTCAGAGATGCATGGACATGAATCAGGATATGTACTTATGTTTTGTAGACTTTGAAAAGGCATTTGATAAAGTTCAACATAAAAAGCTTGTAGATATATTAAAAAGCAAAAATATTGACAGTCGTGATCTGAAAATTATATCTAATTTATATTGGAATCAAACTGAAAAGGTAAGAGTTGACAGCCAGTACACCGAAAATATCAAAATACAGAGAGGAGTCCGCCAGGGTTGCGTGCTGTCCCCACTACTTTTCAATGTCTACAGTGAAGCTGTATTTCAAGAAGCGCTCTCAGACTCAATAGAAGGTATATCTATCAATGGAGAAGTTTTGAATAACTTACGTTTTGCAGACGATACAGTAATAATTAAGGATAACAACAATGATTTACAGAACGTAATGCAATGCCTTAATGAACGCTGTCATGAGTACGGACTGAAGATAAATTTAAAGAAAACTAAATGCATGATCATGACTAAATCTGCACATGCAAATAGCCAATTGACTATTGAAGATACTGCAATTGAGAGTGTTAATAACTATAAATACTTAGGAACATGGATAACATCAGATGTAGACCAAACCAAAGAAATTAAGACACGTATTGAAATAGCACGTACATCATTTATTAAACTTAAAAAGTTTCTTTGTTGTCGGGATATAAGGTTAGAACTACGCCTGAGAATGCTTCAATGTTACGTGTTCTCTACTCTTCTTTATGGTCTGGAAGCTTGGACACTAAAACAAGTTCATCTGAATAAGTTGGCCGCCTTTGAATTTTGGTGTTACAGATGAATCCTACGAATATCATGGACCCAAAGAATGTCAAACATGGAAGTAACTAGAAGCATAGGAAATGAGGCGGAAATAATATTAACTATTAAAAGACGAAAACTTGAGTACTTGGGACATGTGATGAGAGGGCAAAAATACGCATTATTACAACTTATTATGCAGGGCAAAATCCGAGGAAAGCGAAATGTGGGAAGACGAAGAATATCCTGGCTTAAGAACTTGAGGGAATGGTTTGAATGCAGTAGTGCAGAAATTTTTAGAGTGGCAGTCAACAGAGTCCGCATAGCCATGATGATTTCCAACCTTCGATAGAAGATGGAACTTAAAGAAGAAGAAGAAGTTGTTTAAATTGTGTCACCACTTTTTCTTGGTCTGCCAATACTTCTTCGTCCATTTGGTGATTTGACTATCATACGAGACTATCTCGTGCTATTCGTACTATTCTATCCTCCGCCATTCTAGTAATGTGTTCATTTCATGCCTGTTTCCGTTTTGTCCCCCATTCATTTATGTTTTCGCTTCTCTCCCTAGTTTCTGAGTTTAAAGACCTAACTGACCGTTTTTTCTTAAATTGCCTATTTTTTCTTCTATGTAATATTTACATTTTATTAGATGCGCATTATATATGAATATATATTGTAGATATTTATGCGCATATATATGGCAGATATTTATTGGTTTTAGTATCACTACCATTATGAAAACACAAATTTAATTCTAAATTTCGTGTTTACTATTTTACATAATTATACCATCACCTAAAAATATGCTGTTCTCAATCCTGAGATAAAATTCCTAAATAATGACGCACTTATCCCCAGCGACAGCTGGAAAAGTGCGTTTGTATGTTCCACAGAATCATTTTCTACACGTGATTCGGATTTTCCTCGAGTGGAGATGTTACTTCAGTTGCTCTATTTAATGAGCACTCCAGAGTGTTTGTACTGACGATTTTTTTAAAGCCAGATGGTATTGGCGGCAACGATTATGGATTTATTGACTCGCTCGAGATAGGGCGAGTTCATTGAAGCATCTCGGTTAGTGGATGATAGGTAAATCATCATTTCCTTTCTATAATACGTGAATAGGTGTATGTCAATATAAGGAGATTGAAGCTATTGAAATTTTTTTTTCGCAATAAGAATCATTCACTTTGAAATTATTATAATTAAAATAGGTAAAGAAATAATAAATAAGACTTACTCACAATCAATTTAATTTAACTATCAGAAGACCGGTTTCTCTTTCTACAATATGCAAAGCATCCTCAGGTCTCGATACAAAGTTAAACAAAGGCTGAAATAATAAAAACCCATATTAGGGTGTTGTCTAATAACGATAAACAAAGTAGGTGTTGTAAATTACAATAATTATGCCAATATTACATGTCTGTGGTTTTATTTAAATGAGTAAGTTGAATAAAAGGTATAAAATTTTTAAAAAGTTTAAACAGACAAGGTAAAGCCCACAAATTTTTATAAAATAGTCTCTTCGATTGTAATAAGTTAATAAATGAGCAAATAAATAAATAAAATAAACATTACTTACATGCCGATACTCTATTAATATAGATGGATGGTAAAACATGGTTGAAACTACTTTATATTGTTGAATTGAAAACTCAATTCTATTATTGCAGTTGTTTGACAGTAAACGGAAGTTCTTGAGGAGATAGATTTGATCCAATGAAGAAGAGATATGTGTGAGATTGTTTGTTAAATGTTAAGTGATGTTAACAAACAATCTCACACATATTTTTTCTTCATTGGATCAAATCTATCTCCTCAAGAACTTCCCGTTTACTGTCAAACAACTGCAATAATAGAATTGAGTTCTCCATTCAACAATATAAAGTAGTTTCAACCATGTTCTACCATCCATCTATTAATAGAGTACCGGCATGTAAGTAATGTTTATTTTATTTATTTATTTGCTCATTTATTAATTTATTACAATCGAAGAGACTATTTTATAACAATTTATGGGCCTTACCTTGTCTGTTTAAACTTCTTAAAAATTTTATACCTTTTATTCAACTTACTCATTTAAATAAAACCACAGACATGTAATATTGGCATAATTATTGTAATTTACAACACCTACGTTGTTTATCGTTATTAGACAACACCCTAATATGGGTTTTTATTATTTCAGCATTTGTTTAACTTTGTATCGAGACCTGAGGATGCTTTGCATATTGTAGAAAGCGAAACCGGTCGTCTGATAGTTAAATTAAATTGATTGTGAGTAAGTATTATTTATTATTTCTTTACCTATTTGAAATGGACTCACACAAGCAACACATTCATGATTTATTATAAATAGTTTTAGCAACATACAATTAAGAAAGAGATTCTGTTCATCTTGTTCGAAAGATGGGTTTAATTAAACCCTTAATTTGTAATCTCACATTAATCTTAACGTACTATTGTACATATATCATTTTTTACCTATATAATAAATAGCAGCTCCTTGGAATATACTATATTTATTATCACTTGGCTCTGTAGATGTTTACAATCCTTAATTAAATTTTTAAAAGACAGCAAATTATCATTATAATTCTCTAAAAATTATTTAGTTAATCTTGTTACCTTTGTTTTAACCCATTTGTATAACTTCCTCCTCTCCGTGACCTAATGTTGTTGTGTCTTATATAAATCAATGCCTTGATAGGTCCCTAGGCGAGAAGAGTGTGTCCCTGTTCTCCTAATATCGATGTAATCTTTTATTTTGATAGGGCATTTAAGTAAATTATATGGTAAATACTGTCTTATTTCATTTGCGTATTTCACTGGCTGTATGACGATAAGTCTAAGCAAAAAAAAAAAGAATACATAATTATGTACACGATGGTATACTAAATACAGTCTAGGTACCTCTTTTTACTTTTTCACTTTTCAGCATGAATTTTTTTTCTGTTGCAGGATGCCCCCCAGTCGTCAGAGGAACAAACTACCGTAGCTGACATATCAGAAAAACCTGATGTACCGAAAGTTGTACAAAACTGGCCGGAGGAACCTTTAAAATTGGGACAGGTTTCAGGAGTGTCGGTTAATTCTGCTCTCCAACCTGTTATATTCCATCGAGTAGATCGAGTGTGGGATGAAACGTAAGTATTAGAAATATTTCTTGCCAAGAACAGTTTAATATACGATGAAAATAAATTATTATTCTTTATCCTTATCTGTTGAAAAGAAAATTATTCTATTACCGAAATTTGTAGGCTTGTGGATATTTTGTCGAAATCATAGTTTAGAGGATTACAAATATAGATAACGACAAAAGTAATTTAAATCATCGACATACACTTCAGTCGTCAGATACGAAAATGTTATTAAGCCTTTAAAAATAAACTTCCAAATATTCAAGACTTTCCCCTAAAAACCCTTCCGCACCCTGGATGGGGACGAAAAACATCGATTCAGCAAGGATCTGTACGCTGTAGAAAAATGAAATAAAAAAGAAGTGTAGCGGAGATAATTTGTAACAAAAATGTTTATTAGCACTTTTTCTTTATAATGAACCGTTCTCTTAAAAACAACGCTTGAAGAAACCGGCGACTTTGAATGTCAGATACACGCGTGAAATCAATTATTTTTTAAATAAAATTTATATTAAATCACATATAAATTACAAAATACAATTTTTGCATTTTGCAGCAAATAAAATCAGTTTCTATAAAGTTGTTAAATGTATGAGGCGGTAAAAAGAAAAGTGGTGTAAGTCATCTCAGCATCATTTTGAGATATAAAAGGTTTTATTAGAAATATTGTAATTAAATAGACGCAACATGTATATACATGCTTGTGGTATTTTTTATTTGTTAAGAACATATGTAACTCTACTAATATTTTTGTACAAATAAAATAAAACTGTGTTAAGGGTAGTTTTATAAGGTAAAATAACTTACACCACTTTTCCTTTAAGAATTTAAGAGAATGTACAGAAAGCAAAATATGTTTATTGTTTTTCATCATCCAGCTTCAAGAGTCCACTGCTGAACATAGGCCTCTTGCTCGTGTTTCCAACCCCGTCTATCTTGCGCCGCTCTTATCCAGTTTTTATTGAGTCTTCTCAAATCGTCAGTCCATCTTGTAGGTGGTCGACCGACGCTTCTCTTGTCTTCCTTTGGCCTCCATTCCAATAACCTCTTTGTCCATCGCCCATCTGTCATTCTGGCTATGTGTCCTGTTCATCTCCATTTTAGTCTGGCTATCTTCTCGATGATGTCAGTCACTCCGGTTCTTCTCCTGATGTCTTCGTTGGTTATTCTGTCTCGCAGAGTTATTCCTAACATGGACCGCTCCATTCTTCTCTGCGTGACTCTCAGTTTGGTAGCTGCGGCTTTTGTTAAGGTAAGTGTTTCTGCTCCGTACGTCATGACTGGGAGGACGCACTGATCAAATACCTTTCTCTTTAGGCATGTGGGCAGCTCACTTTTAAAAGTTTCTCTCAGTTTTCTAAAAGCTGCCCACCTAAGGCCGATTCTTCTCTTCAGTTCATGAGTCTGGTTATCCCTGCCAATCATAATTTCATGTCCCAGGTATTTAGATCTATCTACGAGTTCTATTTCTTTCCCATCAATACTGATGTTCTGGTTGGGTACCAAATGTATTTATTGTTTTTACATTATAAATTATAAAATAAATAATGTCATTATTTTTTTCTACATCAGAAAGTGATCCAGCTTCGACATTGACTTCATTAGATGATATAAGATTTCTAAAATAAGAATGGTGGACTGAAGAAATGTATATAAATATATAAATCACACATATCCCGTTTTTTGGCTAGCATGGCTGGTTGAGGTGCTGCGTACAGGCAATCTAAGATTTTTCAACAATGTTGGTCTTCCCTTCTGCTTGCTTCGAAGGATATTCATTTTTGAAAAGTAAAAATCTTCAGTTAGTGTCTTTTTATAGAACTGTGAAAATGGCTCATCTTTTTTAACTCTAATCTACTACATTTTTAACTCTCACACTGATTGGTTATACGCATTGGTTTTTCTGTTTGTAGTTGATTTAGTGAGTTATGTTAAATCTTTTTTCTTTCTACACCGAACTATGACTGAAAACCAATCTTCAGGCACATAAATCTGTTCACCTTTTTAGAGTGATTTACAATTGAAACAAAGACTGATTTCTTTGGTAAGTAAGAGTGTCCGCTTACCATAAACTTGTGATCAACTATTTCGATACTATTATTTTTACTTTGAACTAACTGTAACAGGCCAAGGAAAAATTTCAGTTTCTATTTTGGCCGGTGCAGCTGTCACTGTACAATACAACATGCTTTGAATTTGCTGCACGTAATTCTATGTACTTTGTGACAGGTTCTGATTTCCTGAGATCCTCTCGAAACTGTTATGTCATTCCATTCATACATGTAGCCTAAGCCAGATGGTAGCTTATGGTAGCCCAAGTTGTAAATGTATATATTACGTTTATAGTATGCGATAGATGTGGTTAGTTTTGGGAAAACTAGGGTTTTCTCTAGGTCAAAAGTGAATGTATAGTAAGAATCGCCAGTCTGGGCCTTTTCTGTATCATTTTTCATAGAAGTACGTGCAAGCTCGGCCTTTCTAAGATAAAATTCGTACACTATTTCAGTTTGTCTTATCTCATTATCATCTGTTATTGCAGCTTTTTTTAATTTGTCAATATCACACTTAGAGCACCTATCTTATTGTGGTACATTAAAATGTAGGTTGTGCTTATTATTGAATGTACGGCGATAAATATCACAGGAAACGGGGACAGTGCCTTGTTCCTGACAGTACTTACTGTACAAGTGATACTGAAGTATAACATTAAGGTCAGAAGATAGGTACCTACGATTAGGATTCTTATTCCTTGTATACTGCGATTGGTAAGATGGAAAATATTCAATATGTTTCCGGACACAGTTCATACGTTCCTCAGATATTTTATTGGTTGGTATACCATGGGCTCGACTATTTAAACCAGGTGATTTCCCTTGTATTATCTTATTAATGGCCCGTGTCATTCGTCCATCACATATCTGAAAGGTTTCAAGAAAGTATTTTTTACATACTTTCGTTCTTTCGTCTTGTTTATAAATGAAATATTGGTTAGATACTGTCTTACCAGATCGTGGCTGATCTCTAGGACGTTTTACTTCAGATTTATTTTGCTTGATCAAACCACAAATAAAAGCATTATGTGCTGTAAATGATTTTAATTTTCAGAATGGTTCAAACGTTTTTTTTTCTATCTTCACATGATATCTTTTCAAAACATTTTTTATTGCAAAAACAGTTGTTGTTTAAAATAGTTTTACCTGGCGCTGGCTTTTCCTTTTGTTGTCTTAAACTCACAATGTGAGTTGCGACGCCAATTTCTTTGTTCTTTTTTAGTTTCATGCTTTTGTCCTTTTTGTGCTCTCTTCGGTTGTTGAACTTCTACTTCTCCTCTATTACTTTTCCTTTCATGGTCATGGGTCAAATTTGTTTGACTGTCAAGTTTGTGCTGCTATCTGTGAACAAATAGAAGAAGTATGACTTACACCACTGTTGCTTCTAATAGATTTAAATATGGAGATTTTGAATATGCACTTATCTCCATTGCATAAAAAAGTGACTTACACCACTTTTTCTTTCACCGGCTCTTATAAACGTTTCGCGATTTTTGCAATTTTTTACGATTATCATGAGATCAATTAAATTAATCACTTCCATTAACCGGTCGCTATGGAATTTCAATTGTTAGAGCCTAATCTTTAAAACATTTAACATAAAAGTTTGTGCCTCATACAAATATAAGGCATTTATTTGAATTATGTTTAAAATGAATACATTTCATGAATGTTTACATTACAAACAACCAAAACATTAAATACTTTATCTTGTCGATTGTACAAATACGTTTTTCGAAACTACATAGCTTCTCCTACACATTCCACCCAATGCCATACTTGTGGAAGCATTTCCCATGACGTGAGATGCTGAGATATATAAATGGTTTTCCTAATTATGGCTTTTATTGTTTTAGTACATTCAATGAAACGCACCACTACCAGCAAACGCATCTGGGACCAATACGAGAACATACAGTTCTTACTCTAGATCCACAAACAGGAAAAGTGCTGGGAAGATGGGGAGCTGATTTCTTCTACATGCCACACGGTTTAACTATTGACAGACATGACAACATTTGGGTAACCGACGTAGCGTTGCATCAAGTGTTTAAGGTTAGTATTCATTTATTTTAATCAAAAAAAAAATATACTTTCAATCTATGTAGTGTTCATTTTATAATAGGAGCGAATGGGCAGATATTTGAGTTCGATTGTTCGAGATTAAAGACAAAAGACACTTTTAATAAACCTACCCCTAGCATTAGAGATTAGCAAGAAATTAACTATTAGAATTTACTTATCAAACCATAGAACATATAACTGGGTGATAATTGGCATTTGCTGCAACTGAACATAAGGAATGGGATATTTCAGGAAGATGGGTCCTCCATATATACCACATATAATTATAATATATTTGGTCTAGTTAATTTTAACTTGTCATCATTTTCCATGTAAATATGTACTCTTTCTCCTCCTGTTATCATTGTCATTATATCTAGTTTATGACTCTCTAGGGACTAGCTGTTCTGGTTTGATTAAAACAGATCAACACGTTTCACGTGTCGATATCTCAATTAGGACGCACGCAATTTCCAAATAATTTAGTTAAGGCGTCTCACAGCAAAACCGTCTTTCATGTATATGTAAATTGTCATAATACAATAATTCTTTATCTCAATAAAATATACAGCAAAAATCGTTATATCAATTACAAATTTGGAAGTAAATATTGATGCCAAAATAGAACTCGCCAATCCTCTATTCTACATAATGCATTACAAAACTTATTCGCGAAGCTCAGTGTTTCCCAAACTTTTTCCCCGCTGTCACTTTTTTTGATGTTAAATTTATTCATTAATTTTATTTTCTGCTTGAACAATAATTGAAAAATAAAAACATACAAGTTTAATTCACAGTTTACTAAAATTACACAAGGTAAATTAATAGATAACTAATGCTGTTGCCTATTGAGTGGGATGAATATTGAACATAATGCTTCTGATATCAATTGGTCAATTCATGGCTTTAAATGACTGAGATTGGTTGGTTGTTGGTTATTGGTTGTTAGTTATTTCGTAAATATATGGGTAACCGCGCTAAAACCAAAACCTTTTCACTAGATAGAAAGGTGGAAAAGGTATCAAAACTTTTTTACGACAGTCTATAATGCACAATACGAAGAAAGTACAGCTATATTTCATCTAGGACAGCTGAACTGAACCTAGAGCTAAGATTAATACTATTACAAGAATTAATATTAAACTCAACAGTTTTCTTTGATGTCTTCTTCAGGGCTTCCGAGGTCTCAGTCTACCAGGCCCCAGACACTACTACACTTATCACTAACCAATGCATTACTGCCACTGTTGTCTTTGATTTATCGGACAAAATATAAGAGTATCTGCTGGGGGGGTAATTTATTCCTCTTGATTTAAGAATTTTGTCGATTTTGTGAGTGACCCCTTCGATGTAAGGAAGAAAAGCTTTCGTATGATGAGTGTCTGAGTCTTTGGATTGAGATTGAGTTGGAGATTGATGTCTGTGGATTCTCCTATTAATGTGATTTTCGCGGTAATGGTTTTGGAGTTGGCATGCAAGTTAAGATTTGTTTGAGTGGATTTTCGAAAAAGAGAGTGATGAAAACCTTTGGAATAGGTTTTTCTTTATGATAACGTCGAGAAACAGTAGGGATGATTCAGTTTCCACCTCTATTGTGAACTAGATACTTGGATGTAAACCATTCAGATGGATTTGAAAAGACATCAAAAGACACAAGTCGGTTCTTTCAATGCGTCAAAGAAAACTAACGCCAAACAGTCTTTGCACCTTTGTCTAACAGGCCATGTTTATCGACCACGCGACCTTTTCATTAGTTATTTAGGTCACGTGATCGAGAAAATAAAAGAAATACTGAGACTTATGGATCAAAGAAGAGAAGTCAGAAATAAAGATAAAAACGAATACAAGAGAATCCACGCAATAATCAGACAGAAGATAACACACGCGAAAACACAATTTCGTAGTAAAGAATGTAATGAAATTGAACAATATGAAAAGAAACACGATACATTTCATCTGCACAAGAAATTAAAAGAGGTCGCTGGAAACAAACGGAAATAAGTATCCCAAAGTTTAGAAGGCAGAAATGACTACAGAATATTAGACATCAATGAACAATTAAAAGAATGGGAAGACTATATTTCTGAATTATTTGAAGATGAGAGAGTAGAACACTATACACCAATTGCTATATCAGGTCCATCTATAACAGAAAGTGAGGTTACACGTTCAATACAAATGGCAAAAATGGAAAAGCACTTGGCCCCGACGAAGTAAGTGCCGATATACTAAATTTTTTGGGAGAAAATGAAATTAAAGCTCTGTGTAATCTCTTTAACAGAATTTATAACACTGGGATATTACCAACTGATTGGTTAAAGTCGACATTTGTCACAATACCTAAGAAACATCGTCCAAAGACAGGCGGTGATTATCAGACAATAAGTCTGATGAGGCACGTTTTGAAGATCTTCCTGCGAGTAATACTCAGCAGAATTTACACGCTGTTGGAGGACAGAATTAGCAATACTCAATTTGGGTTTAGGAGTGGCTTGAGTACAAGTGAAGCCTTGTTTAGTATACAGGTGCTAGTACAAAGATGCAGAGATATAAATCAAAATGTGTACATTTGTGCAATCGATTTTGAAAAGGCTTTTGACAAAGTCCGACATAACAAAATGCTAGAAATATTGGAAACAGCTGGATTGGACGATAAAGATCTACGAATAATAATTACAAATCTATACTGGCATCAAGTGGCAAGAATAAAGGTTGAACAAGCACTGTCGGATGAACTAAATATAAAAAGAGGAGTGAGACAAGGCTGTATATTGTCGCCTTTACTTTTTAACTTATATTCGGAGAAAATATTTAGGGAAGCCTTAATGGGGACAATCGAAGGTATTATCGTGAATGGAGTAACCGTCAACCATATTAGATATGCCGATGATACCTTAATGCTTGCTAATTGCGGAGAAGACCTTCAAAATCCAATGAACAAAATAAAACAGACTTGTGATCAGTATGGATTAAAACTCAACGTTAAGAAAACTAAATATATGATAGTTAGCAAACAAAATTATATACATGATGACGGAGGTCATCATGTATATAATTTTGTTTGCTAACTGAGGGGTATAAAAGTCGGAGATGCCACACTGGACAGAGTAGAGAAACTCGTGTATCTCGGCAGTAATATCAATGAGAGCTGGGATTCAACAGCAGAAATTAAAATCCGAATAGAACCACCTCGAGCTGCCTTTGTAAAAACGAGAAACATACTTTGTTGTCACGATCTTAGCATTGACCTCAGAGTTCGAATGACATCTTGATACATCTTTCCTGTCCTGCTGTATGGAGTGGAAGCGTGGACTCTAACTGAGGCTATCCTTAAACGCTTGACAGACTTTGAGATGTGGGTATACAGACGACTACTGAAAATAAGCTGGGTCGACAGAGTTAGAGATGAGGAGGTCCTTAGACGGCTGAACCAAACAACACAGCTGGTCAATATAATAAAGAAACTCAAGCTGGAATACTTCGGTCACATTATGAGACACCCTGAAAAATACGATCTTTTACATATGATCATTCAGGGGAAAATCCAAGGTAATTGTGGTCCTGGTAGAAGAAGAACATCATGGCTGAAAAATCTAAGGCAATGGTATGGAAAATCAACTACATCGTTATTTAGAGCTGCTGTCAATATAGTCACGATAGCGAATATGGTAGCCAACATGATATCCAACGATCGATAACGGTCATGGAACTGGAAGAAGATCGAGAAACCTGACAAATTAGAAAAAAATGCAGGTATTACTTTGCGTGAGTTTTCTCTGTCGTACTGAGGGATCAGACTTGTATGGCAACGATCAGTCTATCTTGTAATATATATCTATGATATTAGTTTTACTCTACATACTCGATTGTCTTTAATACAGTGAACTTGAGAAAGTTTAGGCTTAGCATCTTATCTAATAGCCAATCGCCTTAATCGTTATTAAAAACGTAAAATTGACGTTTGTGATAAAAATGTATAACTTATTTAATTTACTTTTTTTTTAGTTTAAACCTGGAGAGCTTCAGCCGTCTCAGACTTTTGGTCAAAGATTAGAACCAGGAGCAGATAAAAGACATTTCTGCAAGCCTACATCTACCGCTATTGCATCTACAGGAGAGATCTTTATTGCCGACGGATACTGCAACGCAAGAATACTCAAATATAATGCTGCTGGTGTTCTACTTCGAATATTTCCTACTGCACCAGGTATATATTAGTTTTATTAAAATTATATAGTTTTTACATACCAATAGGACATAAATGAACATAATATATAAACCTATTATTTGTAAACATATATACATTCGGTTTTATAACGTCTTACGACGTTGTCCGACTCCCAACCGCCACTGTATTCGGTCTTGAGTTAGGTCTTCGTCCAGATTTCGAGCGCTAATCGCTTTCCTAACTCCCAGGTTCCAGCTCTGTGGTGGTCTTCTCTGGGGGTTGCCACATCATCGTTTTTTTAGGCAATCTTTCCTCCCCCATTCGGCTCACATGTCCATACCATATGAGCTGTTTTCTCTCAATATCCTCAACTATAGTGCCCTCTATACCCATTTGTTGTTTTATCACTTCATTCCGTAAACAAATAAGGACAATAACCTCTGTTGTTTAGAAGGAAGAAGAAGAATACTTTTACTCTTTACTTTTACTCCTTAGAAGAATACTTTTGTGCTATCTGTGAAAACCGCCTCTGAAGAAAATGATGCCTTTAAACTGTACAAAAAATTCAAAAAAGGGCTGTCATGTTGAGCTGTCTGATTCCAATATCGGAAACAAGTAAATTGAACACATGTTGTAATAACGTTTAATACAGACTGTTGTACATCTTTCTTATTATTATTACTTTTAGTAAAACAGTGTCATCATAACCCAATCTAAAGTCCTTAACCTCTATCTATGCCATGAGACCTTGTGCCGCCTGTCATATGTCATAGCCTGTCAGGACTTTACATTCATGAGCTATTGAGTCTCATGACATCTTCTTCTTCCAATAAATCATAAAAATTACATCAATGAACGAAGAATAAAAACATTCTAAAATAAAAACTAATCACAATACTGATTGCAAATTTAGTACATCTCAAAATCTTCTGACAGAAAAGTGATTCAGTATTTCACTCTCATAGGCCGTTGATGTTAAAGAACTGTTATTCTGATTGTGATTAAAATCATCTGCTAGGTTAATATGATCTTTAGGCACATTATTAGATGGTCTCAAGTGATAGCTCTTTCTTCTTACAAGCGTCCCATTTTCTTTCTTAACAACATATTATGATCTTGGCTCTTGTAAACCTCGTCTAACCACAGCAGGTTTCCATTGCCCATCTTCTCTTATAACCACATTATCCCATACACTTAATTCTTCTTTTGTAGCTGCATTTCTATCACAGTAGTGCTAGTACAATTTTCTTTTATTATCCAATTTATTCTTTTCATTTTTTAGGTCTACCTGTTCTGGTAAAGGTTTTTCATGTAAAACTGGAAGTTTGCCTCTGGAAGTCTACGACTATTCAAGAATTATGCTGGGAATTTGTCTGACCCATTTGCTCTAGGATATCCGGGGCTAGATGTCACAAATTTAAAGTTCCATTCCTTAGAGAATTCTCGATATTCCTTAGAGCCAAACGGCATATTACGATTTCCAAAGGAATCCCATAAGTGGCAAACATAGTCTTAAACGAATTTATTATTGACTGGAATGTTTTGGACTGCAACGGAACAATTTCAATCCACTTTGTGAGATAATCCATTACAGTTAAATAAGATGCTCCTCCAAATTCACAAATATCTGCCGTTAGCATTTGAAATGGCAGTTCTGGAATTTCTCTTAGTATTAACGGCTCTTTAACATTATTTCTCTGATATTTCTCACAATCAACACAATTTCTAACCAAATCCACTATGCCGTTATTCATATTTGGCCAGAACAATACCTATCACGCTCTTTGATAACCCCAATATGCCGCAAAGAATCCGGAACTATGACTCTGTCGCTATAAAACATAAAATCATTTAATGAATAAACGTCATGCCCTAATACTAAAATAATCTTTTACTATGATAATCTTTTACTATGTAAGGTCAGGCTTCGGCACAAACGACCATCTACAAGTTATTAAAAGCCTCATCGAAAAATGTATAGAGTACAATAAACCCCTCGTCCTAATATTTGTGGATTATGAGAAAGCATTCGACACAGTAAACCACCAGAAAATGCTAGAAGCTTTAAAAGAGTGCCGAATAGATCACCGCTACAGCACTGTCATCAAAAATATCTATGATAATGCCACGGCATGCGTCAGACTCCATGAAGATACACACAAGTTCAACATTCATCGTGGAGTTCGCCAGAGCGACACCATTTCACCAAAACTATTTACAACATTATTGGAATACATGTGTAAGCGTGCAAACCTAGACGAAAAGGGCATAAACATAAATGGAGAGCATCGTAGTCACCTCAGGTTCGCGGACGATATAGTCCTGATAACAGACCGCATAGATCATGCCATCGAAATGTGCGAAAGACTCTACCATGCCTCTACACAAGTGGGTTTAAAGATCAATAACTCAAAAACACAAGTGATGACAAACCTTGTTCTGAGTGAGAACATCAACATAGCTGGAACAAGTATAGAACAAACATCAGCATACAAATATCTGGGACACAAAATTCGCTTAAGTAGAGATAACCAGACCAATGAACTAATACGTAGAATAGGGTTGACATGGGCAGCTTATGGAAAGCTAAGAGATGTTTTCCAATCAGCTCTTCCCATCTGCTTGAAGAGAAAAGTCTTCGATCAATGTGTGCTGCCGGTTCTAACCTATGGTGCGGAGACGCTAACACTTACTAAGACGTCCGCAAACAAAATTCGAACAACACAGAGGGCAATGGAACGGTCCATGTTGGGATTAACTCTGAGAGACCGAATACCCAACACAGAATTGCGCCGTAGATCGGGAGTAACCGACGCAATCGTCAACCAAAAGAATATCAACCTTAAAATGGAACTGGGCAGGGCACGTCGCGAGAACGAAGGACGACAGATGGACAAAACGCATTCTTGAGTGGAGACCCAGACAAGATGCCTTTAGGAATAGAGGACGACCACCAACAAGATGGACGGATGACCTGAAACGGACACATCAAAATTGGATGCAGGCGGCTCAGGACAGAAATTTGTGGGGTGAACTACGGGAGGCCTATGTTCAGCAGTGGACGAGTATGAGCTGAATGATGATGATGATGATGATAATGAAAGGTACCCTCGATTCACATGATGGCTACCCTTTTTCACAAAAATCTCTAATTATTTGAAGCTTCCGTTACAAAAGCATCATCCTCTACCTGTTCCTTCAAAAAATTTCGAGACAACAAATCAGCTATCAGCATGTCCTTCTTCCTCTTGATGTGTCTATCCGTTACGAATGTTGGCGATCATCTTAGCAATCTTTATCTTATCTGCAGCAGCGCGCAAAAGCTGCACATATGTTGTATTGAACCAGATTCTGCGGTTCTTTAACCAAAATGTTCTTTTTCTTCCTAGACCTCGCTTTCCAAATATTTTTCTTGACAGGATGGCTTGAATTTCCTTGCCTGGGTTATACTCCACAGTTAAGTTATATTTTAATAATTTCACCTTCATACGTTGTAGAATAGGAAAGTCTACTTCTGCTATGCCTTTCTTCATTATCGAAATTAATAGCTTATGATCTGTGAAAACCTTAACTTCTCTACCACAAATATAATTCTGAAATTTAGTACAAGAAAATAGGAATAACGATCTAGAAACAAAAGATACGGGTATAAGATTTTGTAATAATACACATCCAACACCATTTTGACTTGGATCTGTTTGAATTATTATTGGAATATTTTCATCCAAATTTGCAAGAACTGGTGGTGAGCAAATTAACGTTTTGATTAAATCAAATAAGTGTGTGTGACTTCTAGTCTACATCCAAACTGTAGTCTTTTTTAACAATTCTCTTAATGGGGCTGATATATCCAGCCATGATTATATGGTAATTGATCATGCCCAGTATTCTTTGCAACTTCTTTTTATTATTGGGTTCTTTCAAATTTATAGTAGCTTTAACTTTATCTAAATCAGGTCTCATACCATCTTTATCATATGTATTTCCCAAATATTTTACTTTAGACGTTCTATATTGTATCTTATTAGGATTAAATTTTACTTCAATATTTCTAGAACGTTCTAATACTTTATTAAGGATTCTATCATGTTCTTTAAGACTATCTGCAAATATTAAAATATCACCAAAAAAGATGAGACATCCATCAATATCACCAAAGTTTTCTAAGTTCATTATTTAAAAAAATTCAGGAGCAATATTTAGTCCGAATGGAAGTCTATCAAATTTCCAAATTCCAAAATGAGTTCCAAATGCAAAAAATCTACTGGATCTCTCATCAAGCTGAACTGAATAGAATTCCTCTTTAAAGTCTAAAACAGAAAAATAGCATTTGTTTTTTAACTTATTGCATATCTCATCATTAGTAGGTATTAAACAATATTCCTTTTTAAGTGCTTTGTTTAAATCTCTAGGATCCAAACAAATTCTTAATGTTTTATCAGGTTTTTCAACTATACCCAAATTGAAATCGAAGGCTTCCACGGCCAGAGTCAGAATTATAGTTTATTCGTCTTCCGGGTTTGGACCGTGTCATTTGTGAGTGACCCAAAAGTGGGTTCATCTCGACGTTTCGCTACAATTGTATGTAGCTTCTTCAGGAGAACAAAGAAAAAGAAAAAAGAAAACAAAAGAAGAACAGGAAGATGGGTAGTTAGCAACGGTAACTCAGTTACTCAACGCAACCAGAGGCGAATACTAACTACCAAGATGGGCATTTGGTCACAGTAACTCAACTACTCAACGCAGCCAGAGGTGAAAACCAAATGCCAGGACAGGGATTCACGTCCAACAGCTCAGAACACTAACGCGTCGAGAGGCAGGGAGGGATTCACTCCAGGATGCCAGGACAGGGATTCACGTCCAACAGCTCAGAACACTAACGCGTCGAGAGGCGGGGAGTGAATCCCTCCCTGCCTCTCGACGCGTTAGTGTTCTGAGCTGTTGGACGTGAATCCCTGTCCTGGCATTTGGTTTTCACCTCTGGCTGCGTTGAGTAGTTGAGTTACTGTGACCAAATGCCCATCTTGGTAGTTAGTATTCGCCTCTGGTTGCGTTGAGTAACTGAGTTACCGTTGCTAACTACCCATCTTCCTGTTCTTCTTTTGTTTTCTTTTTTCTTTTTCTTTGTTCTCCTGAAGAAGCTACATACAATTGTAGCGAAACGTCGAGATGAACCCACTTTTGGGTCACTCACAAATGACACGGTCCAAACCCGGAAGACGAATAAACTATTATACCCAAATTGCTCAACCACTCTGTAGGACCCTCACATCTAGACATAATGCGTTTTTCTAAAGCTAACAGTTGATTTTTTTAATTTCTCTTTAATGGCTAAAGGAAGCCTTCGTCGGGGCTTAGCCTCGGGAACACAGTTCTCTTTGAGTTTTAGTTTACATTTTTGAGGACATTTACCTAATCCTGTGAATACATCAATATTTTGTTTAATAAAGTCATTTTTTGTAATAATTAAATCTATACTATCTACTCTTTGTATCAAATCCAAATCTAAACATGATTTTAAACGTCAAATTGGCATAAGGACAAGGTTATCTTTAACTATATCAAATTCTACTTGAAATATATTCCCTTTAAATGAACATTTTAGTGTAATAATACCCACAGATTTTATTTTAAATCCTCCATAAACTTCTAACCTTATTTTGCACTGATTTATCTCATGATTTTTATTGATTTTATTCAAAAAGTGATTTGAACACGACTACATTTTCTGCACTGACCACTTTTTCTTGAGTTTTCCTCCTGTTGCCATCTTTTGCTTCTTCCAGTATTAAAGTTGTTATTAGGAGCTTTCCCCTTGCTGTTTGATTACCATTTCCCCGTTTTACATAATGAATATTAAGTGTTTGACTTGACTGAATGTATATTTTGCTGACCCTATATTTATATTCTAGTTTGACATTGAGGTTTGGGTAGCAAACACGTAGTTCCTTAGTATCAATAACTATCTACGACACTGGCCTCGAATGGCTTAAGTTCGACTAATGTTTAAGATTTAGACAAAACTGTAAATATTTAAAACACAAGTAGAATTATTTTTTGTACCTCTCTCTTTATTTACAAAAAGATTTACGAAATTTATTAAAAGTTGTAAGAAATTGTTAATTATCGATGACATTGTGTTTCAGAAATTCTATCCCTTCAAGTGCCTCACGGACTGGCCCTCATAGAATCATTGGACAGGATTTGTGTTGCTGACAGAGAAAATATGCGTATTGTATGTCCTAGAGCAGGATTATATACCTTGCAAGGAAAGAAGGAACCACCATTAACGATCACTTTACCAGATATGGGACGAGTTTTTGGAGTTTCTGCCAAAGGTATTACTGTAAATTCATTCAACACTGTATAATATTTTATCAATATCTATCAATCAGACCATTTTAAAGCTAATGTTGTATAAGAGCGTTGTATTACTTTTCTCTATGGTAAAATGCTGAGGTGAGCGTCATGTAGCACCACGAAATAGTTGGAAGGGTTCATTTATGCGACGGGTGCGTCCGTTTTCAATTTTAATAAAATCTATATCAATGTTTACCATGTTGGTGTTAACCAACAGTGGTTTTACCTATTTTGGAATGTACAAAACATAGGGAATCAGTGAAAAGTCTTGATGCAAATCAACCGACACTGAAAAACTTTCGGTCAATCCAACAAAAGTCCTTACTTTGGTGTACCTACACTCCCTCATACATACCCTTTACAAGCCTTAAGTACTTCTCAGGAACCCATTTGTCTCTCATCCATCACCATAGCTCTTGTCTAGGAACTGTGTTGTAGCATTCTCAAGATCGATAAATGCCAAATGTAGCATATATTTCTATCAACTGTGTCAGAGCAAACAAGGCGCCTGTTGATCTCCTTCCTGTTATAATTCAAAACTGGTCTCTATCCTTAACCTTCGCTCTACAGTTTCCTCTTCAAATTATCGTTGTTCGCTACATTAATTTTATCCCTCTGCTCTATAGATCTTACACTCCTGAATGTCTACTTATTTTTATACAGTGATACCATCACGCTCTCTCACCATACGTTTGGCAACCTTTCTTTCTCATATACCCTAGTCCTAGTCATTTGCCACAAAACATCATCCCCTTCCTGTCCTAGAGCCTTCTAAGATTCCACAGTTCCTCCAAACCTCCATTAATGTTCTTCAAACCTCTGTCTCTCCTACGATATTCTTCATTTAGCAATTTTTTAAAATACTCATACATCTTTGGTTTATTTTAACATATCTTACCTTTTCTGGTGTTTCCAACTCTTCTTACAGCTTTGCATACTATCTTTCCTTAGCCGTAGCTACAGTGTGCTCTACTTTCCTCTTTGTTACTTTGTATGTATCTCTATTTTCCTCTCTTTTAAACCTGTCATACCGCGTTCTATCCTTTTTCTTCTAACTAACCTTCTGTTACACTTTATCGTTACACCACCAATTGCATATTATGACATGTATTAAACTATAAAAATTCTGTTTCTTAAATAATATAAATAAGCGTATTTTAGTTAAATTTATTAAAAATGTAAAACAAAAATTACAAAGTCTAAAAATTCACGATTTCAATTAACAAAAATTGTTTAGGCGAATGTATATTTCCAACCACACACATGTTTAAAAATGATTTATTTTTGGTATGAAATATTGAATTATGTATACTTTTTCGTTACGTAATATTTAATTATTATTTATTATTTTGTAACTATCGATTCGACTAATTTTAATAAGTAAAGATAAGAAAATTCAAATTTTATAAAAGCAAAAAAAGTCCGCCCCCGGGTGGGCTCGAACCACCAACCTTTCGGTTAACAGCCGAACGCGCTAGCCAATTGCGCCACGGAGGCGATGTTAGTCAACTTTCAAAGAGAGGATTACACATTACGAATTTATTTTTGAACTAACTGATATTGTGTAATGCTGGTTGCATAATTACTAGAATTTGTAAAACTCCAAAGTAGAGGAGATGTGGGAATCTGGTATCAAAGATGGCGGCCAGTTGGATGGCTAGCATCCAACTGGCCGCCATCTTTGATACCAGATTCCCACATCTCCTCTACTCTCCAATTATTTCAAAAGTTCATTGATTATTGTAGATTTGAAATCTGTAAAAGTGCTATGGTCTACAAAGATATATTTTGTTTATATAGAAAGGAGGAAGACGGAAGCATATGATATAGTCTACCGAAAACCAACCCATACTGACAGATACTTTAGTATAAATTATCCGAATTAAATCATAGTTTCTCATAATATTTTCAAAATAAAGTAAGAAACTTTAATAATCAGAATAAATGGAAATTAAGTAGTAAAATTAATTACATATATCTATTCCTAATCAACCATAAAACTGTAGCATGAAATCTCTAAATAAAATATTTGCGCACTCCGTTAAAATCGGCCATGTGTTCTAACACAAAAAAGGAATCAACCTTCGAACTTAACTCGAATTTCATTAGTCATATCTCCCCGGTAAAAGACGATGAAGAATGAGGATTGGTGACACAATAACAAATGCGGCTCCGGAAACGCAACCTGACAATAAAACTCTAAAAAGGTAAAAAATATATCTATATATGTATATTACTGAAAATTTTGAAAGTTATGCCTAAGGTTAAGGCCAAAAACGAGATAAAAATTATATTTACAAGTCGTTAGAAACTGTCACGAAAATGCCATTTAACTTCTAAAGGTCGATTCAGACACATCAGTCACGTCTCGTCACAGTCCTGGCGCCGAACCGAACAATCCGTCATACAAAATATTCTTTAATAGAAATATGGCGCCGGCATTCACATTCATCAGTTGACGAACAGTTTCCTATCTTTCAAATAATTAATAGTGCTGTGACCAAATAGGACTGGTTCGGCGCGGAGACTGTGACGGGACTGATGTGTCTGAAAGGTCGATTCAAACACATCAGTTACGTCTCGTCACAGTTCCGACACCGAACCGAACAATCCGTCATACAAAATAATCTTTAATAGAAATATGCCGCCGGCATTCACATTCAACAGTTGAAGAACAGTTTCCCAGCTGTCAGATAATAGTTCTGTGACCAAAAAGGACCGGTTCGGCGCCGGGACTATGACGGGACTGATGTGTTTGAATCGACATTAAAGCTGAACAAGCTGAATTCTGTTGATAATAGGGCTATGGTGTATAGTTTATGTGAACTAAGTGCATGTTGTAAACTCCAATTTTAAGACATTTATGTAAAAATATTCAAATCGGTATGAAAAAAGATCTACGTATAACTGCTTTCGAGTTTTGAGAATATTTGGACCATTTTGTAATATATTTTAGTTTGTTCAAGATTTTTTTACATACATAAATATTTTTATTTAAAAATGATACCACTATTTCGATATAAATCTATTATACACTTTTTTATTTAACAAAAAGTTTTTATTTCACAACACAAGGTTTGCAGTAATAACATTTCTTCGTATTCTCTGAATTTCTAACATTCAACCATTGTTTTGATTCACCTTATTTGGAATCATTTCCATTGGAACTTCAGGAAGTTCTTCATCTTCTTCATTATTTAAAGGAGGAAGCTGCTCTTTCATAACCATGTTGTGAATTGCAACACAGGAATATGTAATGTTTCCAACTTTAACAAGGCTGTAATGTGAAACCCTGTGCTTGTGCAAACAATGAAAGCGGTATTTTAAAATTCTGCAAGGTTTATCAATCACATTCCTGGTTGCATTAGTAGCCCTAGTTACACCAAATCTCATAAAAGTAATAAGAAAATTACAAAATCCATTTTTCAAACACAAACACAAACCAAAAGTTAGGTTATCTTGAATTAACTCACAGATCTTCAAGGTATGACAGAACTGTAAACAACATTTTTCTGCAGCCGCCCCGAAAATAAAACTTTCGGTATGATTTATTAAATCGAAAGTACCATTTTATACAACTCGTCCGAAAGTAGTTACTTTCGGGACTAATTTTTTCACTTTCGGGACGATTTTGGGTATTTAGGTAACGGCTTTACACATTATGTTTTGCCATTTAGGTAGGGGAAGTGTGCCTATGTTGGACCCCTGCGTATGACGGACCCCCTGCTGTAATTTTAAATAGCGCGCGGTTACATACACATCGCCGGTTGCCGCTTGCGCGCGAAGTTTGTAGTTTAGTATTTGCAAAGTTTCAGACGCGTGTCTGTTATAACAGTAAATTTGTGAAATAAAATTAAAATTTGGCGTTGCTGATCTAATACATTTTTTTGGTAAGTAGCATTTTACTGGTAACATACGTTAAGCTAAGTGTTGCTTTTGTTTTGTATAAAATGACTACACTTTCTTTGTCAAATACTATATTTTGTTTTAGGTTAAAATGGTCAAAACAAAAGTAACAGAATTAAATTTGCTGCCTTGATGTCTATTTGCCTATGATGGACCCCTGTGTCGTTACCTATGACGGACTAGGGGTCCATCATAGGAAAAAGAAAATAAAATTGGACACACCTTCAGTTTTTGTTACTTAATGATTAACATAATATGTTTTACAGGGATAGCTCTACAAAAAAGGCAACAGTGGAACGAGAGTAATATGCAACAAGCTTTAAAAAGCATACAAGAAAAAACTATGGGGTTTAAACTGGCAGCAAAAAATATTTAACGTTCCAAAAACGACTTTGAAAAGGCGCTTTATTAAGCATCAAGGAAGTATCAAAGGTGATTTGGGAGGACGAAGACCAATATTCTCCACTACTATTGAACAGGAAGTTGCTGACCATATTATTACTATGGAAACTCTGGAAACTCGTTTTTTTGGCCTGACTAGTAAAGATTTGCGAAAACTTTATACGAAGTAGCTGAAAGAAACAATATTAGCCACAATTTTAATAAGAAAACCAGGATGGCAGGCTGAAAATGGGTCAGAGGCTTTTTAAAGCGAAATCCTCGAATGTCATTACGCACTCCAGAAAATACTTCGTTGGCAAGGGCTCAAGCTTTTAATAAACCAAATATATGTGCCTGTTTTACTGCATTAGCAAATATATTAGACGAGTTTCACTTTCTACCGGAAAACATTTATAATATGGACGAGTCCGGTTTGACAACTGTGCAAAAGAAATCGCAGAAAATTTATGCTAGTAAAGGTCGCAAACAAGTTGGTGCTTTAAGCAGTGCAGAGCGCGGTCTGCATGTTACGATCGTATGTGCAATGAATGCAATTGGAACATATGTTCCTCCTGCTTTGATTTTTCCTCGACAGAGAAAGAAAGATGAACTTATGATCGATGCACACACTGGAAGTATAGCCTTCGCTCAAGAAAAGGATGGATGACTTCCGATATTTTCTATTTGTGGCTGCAACATTTTTTAAGGTATACAAAGGTTTCTAAAACCAACAAAGTTTTGTTGTTACTCGATGGCCATGGTAGTCACAAAAAATTTGAAGCTTTCCAGTTTGCAAAGTAAAACGGTATTATTATGTTTTGTTTTCCTGCTCACTGTTCTCATCACGTTCAACCCTTGGACCTAGGATTTTTTAGACCACTTCAAATTTACTACGGCCAAGAAATTCAATTATGGCTGCGACAGAATCCAGGTAAAACGGTGACCCAATTTAAAGTAGCCCCAGTCTCTTTAATAGGGCGTATTTAAAAAGTGCTTTACCATCAAATGCAATCAATGCATTTAAAAAGACAGGAATACAACCATTCAATCCAGATGTCTTCGAGGATTGGCAATTTTTGCCGTCTATAACAACAGATAGAGAAAATTCTGAACAAAACCCACTGCCAGAATGTTCTGACCAGAAGTCACCACCGGAACATTGGAGCCAAAATGTTTCTTCGATTGAAAGTTTATCAAAAAGCCCCACTGATCAGAAATCAACATCATCGTCAGTTCTAAACATCTCGGTAGAAGATATTTGTCCTCCTCCTTTAGCTGGAGTATCTCAAGTAATGCAAAAAAGGGGTAAAAAACGGGGTAAAACAGGATATTTAAATTCAACGCCAGAAATTGAAGATATAAAACAAAAAATTGCAGACAAAGAAGCAAAAAAAAAGGAAACAAGACGGCAGAAAAGTGAAAAGGCAAGTTCGTGTTTCAACTACAAGTGGTTCTGAAGACGATTGTGAATGCTCTTTTGTAGAAGGCGACTCGGACGATGCAGCTTGCATCTACTGTAACGAACTATTTTCGCATTCACGGTCCAATGAAAAATGGATTCGTTGTCAAGTGTGTAAGAATTGGTGTCACACTGAATGTGCAGATGTAACCTCGACATAAACAATTTGTGTGTGAATTGTGCGCGTAATTTTTTTGTTCTTAAAAATACCATGTGTAATATTTTTTATCGTTTGTAATGTCTTTTGATCTAATAAAATAATTTGGTATTTAATTATTTTACACAAAATGCAACGAGTCCATCATGAGCGCATATATGCCCATGATGAACCCTTAACAGGTAGTAAATTATGAATAAATTTTTAACATCACTTTTTCTGCAAAATTTGAAACATTTGCCATATTGTACAAATAACGAGACGTTATGTGGTCATATTTAAAGTCTGTTAAGTAAATAATTAAAATTATTATGAAGCTATTTTCTTAAGGGGACCATCATAGGCACATTTCCCCTAACGGATTTACACATTGCCAAGATTTACCAAGAATCTGTACTCTATAGAAAAAAATGTTTCAAATAAAAACTGACATTTAAAATCGCCAGTCGCTTGAAGCATTGTTTTTGTAAGAACGGTTTATTCTACACAAAACTGCTTAATATTTTTGTTTAAGATTATCTCTTAAGAATAACTTGGACGTTTTTCACATTTGGTCCCAGTGAAGATAGCCTCAAATTAGCTCTCAATTAAGTTTCACAGAACGAGATATTGCGTTGGCAGTGTTGCCATGTCCTTATAATGTATATGTTATATGCTTCGATTACAAAGAGATAAAGCTTCTAAAATGTACATTTTTATTATATTATTTTATGGATTCTGCAATTGTATACCTTTTATAAAATATTGATGAATTAATATGTGTTTCGTTTGATATTAATTGCAATTAGTTATTAGAAAAAATGTTTGGCAATTGCCCTTTGATAGGTTAGCGGATAGATTTGGCAATAGAGTCAGAACCCTCAAACCACGAGTTGCCAGACTGCAACAGATGTCATTTTAACTTTATTATTCCTACTGGCATTTTACTATTTATGTTAAAAAACTATTTTAAAACTATTATTTTTTTTGGTAATTGTTAAGTATTAGTTTTTAAATATCTTATTACACTTATTGCACATGTTTTATTTGTAATGTAAACTTTCAACACTGCCAAACACCAATATTTCATTCTTTCAAAACCATTTGAGGCTATCTTCAATGGGACCAAATGTGAAAAACGTGAAAAAATGTGAAATTCAGCTTGTTCGTATAACGCATAATTTTTAGAGGTTAATACTCTGATGACTAAACTAACAAGGGAGTTTGATTCTAATGTGATCACCCAGACAATCATCAATAACTAAAAAAAAATTCAAGAAATAAAAAAGTTGTAAAGAGAAACCAAGCCCTCAGAAGAAATAATAACATATTTATAAACAGAAAACTAAGCAAACTGACATTAACGAAGTTATCAAATACGCGATGGAATTTTTTTTGTTAAATATACTTGACTATATTATTAAGCAATTCAAAATAATATATCGATTACAATGATTTTTTAACAAATATTAAAACATATATTTAAAAAACATTCTCGTTACTATTAATAAGATTAATATGTAACACTTTGTATTTTGTATTCCAGGCAAGCTCGTTTACGCAGTGAATGGCCCCACGTCCACGCTTCCCGTACAGGGAATGACCATCGACCCACAGACGGAGTCGGTCATCGATCATTGGGCGCCTGAGGAGGTAATCAATGCCCAACAAAATACCTCCCATTTTCCTTTTACAGGGCCTGACCAACTAACCTTTAGAAAGCACTTATTAAAATTATCCATACCTTATTAGCACATGTGTACTTTAGACGAGTAATTACATGATTCATTGGTGTTTAAGATCGGTAAAATTATTTGTAGGAAGAAAAAGATGTATTGTAGTTCGTATACTACTCGTTTTTGTAGAATTCGCATTTTTTACAGATTGTATTCTTAAAATCCCGTACACACGTCCCGACAAACCACTCAACTGTCGTGACCAAAAACGTTGGATCCGAATGGAACAATACGTTTCCTTAAGGCTTAATGCTTGTATTTCATTTATAGTGTATTTTTATGTATGAGAGAGTAATAAAACAATAAATTATGTATGCAAATCCCTAAACTGTTGATACGGGTGACTCAATGAAAAACAGATATTTGTCAACAAGTTTACAGAAGTATATAGGAAAACAATTTTAAATTGAGTATGACCACCAGGTATAAAGGTTGGAGCAGAATAGAATACAATAGTTGTGAGGGTTACTAATCCCTAAATAAGGTTGCCAGTGTCGGAGTGATGGAGGTTAACAGGTACTAATGAATTTGCACGAAATGTAAGATGTTTATTTTATTGGTTATATATAACCAATAAAAGTTTAATAAGTACCTACCTATTCGCAAAATAAAGTTTAATTCTTTAGATAAAATAAAACGTTTTATTTTATCTGAAATGAGTGCATTCCACGAAGTAAGGGTTTCAACAATCAAACATTTAATTCTTTAATTCCAGGAATCTACGACAGTAATTGACTAGATAATTACCTTCTAAACTTCTTCCACAGAAAATATGATAGTGGGTTTTTCCATTTTGTAGGAAGGTCCAAGTGGCGTATTCAAAATTCATAACAGTTCACTAAAAGTAGGTACTTCAGTTGCAAGGTGCAGTTTATTGTGTATACTAGTGTTATGGAAAATTTGGAAGTGCCGTGTAAACGCCGAAAAATTGGTCCTTTAACAGTTAATGAAAAAACCTTAATATTTAATTGTTTTAAATCATTTACAGACAAACGTTTATGTGAAAGTGTTAATGAGACCGTTGAGTTAGTTATCAGTACACTTGGTGTTGGGAAATCTACGATTTACAAAGTTAATTAAAGTAAATTAAAGAAGAGAAATGTGGTAGTTTTCAAATGCCACGTAATGCTCCAGGGAAACCAAAATTTCAAATAGAATATCATTTTAAAGAAGGACTTCGACGGAAAGTGCATGAATTCTTCTTTAGACAAAAATTTCCAACATTGGATAAAGTTCTTGTCTCAGTTCGAGATGATAAGGATTACCCAGAAATGAGTCGAAGTACGTTATGGAAACTTTTAAAAGAAATAGGCTTCCGCTGGAAAAAGAATCCCAGAAAGTCTATTTTATTAGAAAGAAGCGATATTGTCATATGGAGAAGACATTTTCTAAGAACCATAAAGGAAATGAGAAACCAAAAAAGGAAAATATTTTATCTTGATGAAACATGGATCAACGAGGGTCATACACCAAATAAATTTTGGCAGGATGAAACTGTTACAAGTTAAAGGCACGCTTTTGTAAATAACTTATCTACTGGTTTAAAACCACCATCAGGAAAGGGACGCAGGCTGATAATAGTACACATTGGCAGTTCAGACGGTTTTGTTGAAGGTGGTTTATTAACTTTTGAATCAACTCGTACCGGTGACTACCATGAAGACATGAACGCTGATGTCTTTCAAGAATGGTTCGAAAAAATGATAGATCTTCTTCCTAAGAACTGTGTAATAGTAATAGATAATGCAAGTTATCACTCCAGACTTATAGAAGGACTGCCCACAGCCAAGTGGTTAAAAAAAGACTTGCAGAATTGGCTGAGTTCAAAAAATATTACGTACCATCCCGGATCTATAAGAAAGGAACTTTATTCGTTGTGTACCCTTCATAAAGAAAAATTTCAAAAATACGAAATTGATGAAATTGCCAAAAATCGTGGAATGACAGTACTTAGATCCCCACCATATCATTGTGAATTAAACCCGATTGAACTGGTATGGGCACAGTTAAAAAGTGAAGTTTCAAGAAAAAATACCACTTTTAAAATTCATGATGTTAAACAGTTGTTTTTGGAGGCCGTAAATAATGTAAAACTTGAAAACTGGGAAAAGGCAGTAAATCACACTATTAAAGAAGAGGAAAAAAATGTGGAAGCTGGACAATATTACTGATAAAATGATCGAGCCAGTTATTATAAATATTGGTTCTGAAAGTTCATCTTCTGAATCTGATTTGGATTTGTAACAAGTAGCTGTAAGTTTTATATTAATATTTTTATTCATCTATTTAACATACCTTAGACGGTTTTAAAAACTCTTTTTCTCTTTTGAAATTTTTAAAAATTAAAAAAAATGTGAATTTTTTAAAACCTTTTTTAATGTAGGCCAGTCAGTTCTAATATAGTGTGTGATAAAAGAGGTCACTTTTGTTTACATACACATAACACTTTATAACACTGAAATAATTCATTTATTTTTTACAATTATTCAAAGTAATTTTTCAATTAATCTTGAGCACGCCCATGGAGTGGTCGAAGGTACCAGTTAAAATTATGCCAATTACTCTCTCGTTCATAAAAATAAACTATAGATCTGTCAAATATGTGACAAAGACGTGAGTTTATGAAGGTGAAGTTTATAAAAAGTTTATAAAAATGTTCAGAAACGGTACTCAAAGATCTTATGTCCATCTTTCGAATATTTTGATTATAAGAACGCGTATCTTATTGAAATTGTATTCTTTAGAAAGGTAAAGGGGTTTTCTAATATTAAAGTAAAAAATAATAAAAAAATATTAAAATGTCACTCATTTATTAAGAAAAATAGAAACATTACATCTTAATTTACGAAAACTTAGCAATATACTTATTTTTGGTCAATGAATGAATTTTTTGTATAAATCGGGGCATAGAGAGCGTTTGACACAGATATTAACCCTCTATAGCCCTGTGTGTACTCAAGGCAACAAAAGAGTTTTTGATGCAGAAAACTTTTTTAAAACAATTTTCGACTTTAAGATGCCCTCTATTGATTTCAGGCAACGTTTGGTTATACATTTTAATACACTTATGCCCGATTTCACCAACGATACCTAAACAGTTGCCTTCAAAAGTAATTCTTATCGAAAAGAACTTTCTAAGTCAATACTTAGGAACACTAGCGTTTCACAACTAAAAGAACTGCTTATCTAGGAAATTCTTTCTTAGGTACTACCTTGGATACGTTTGAACTATTATTGATAAATAAAAAGAAGAATAAGAAGTCACAACCTTACTTTTTTATTTGTTATTGAATTGTTTGTTTTCCAAGTTGGTTTTATTCAGTTTTGCCGTGTTATAGTTATTTTAATTAGTAGTTAGTTATTTGTAAATAAGGCTTGTTTAGTTTTTTAAATTATTTATATATGTCTAGTGAAATGGAGGAAAAGAAAAAGACTGCAAATTTCATATTAAATAGGCAGAGAGCATATTAAATAAAATTAAAAATGAGTTGATTACAATGTACAGTATAATACATTTTTTATCTAGATCTAATTTCAGATAAGTGCCACCAGCTCTATTGTCATTATTGAAATAATTTTAAAATAAAACATCTTGAAAATTGTTTTTTATTTTATATTTTTAATAATACACTTTTAATGAAATCATGAATAGGTTTTTGAAAGAAAATACCAGTTTTTTAGGTAGAATATCATTTTCTATTTGTTCCAACACATATAAAACTGTTGGTTTAGAGAGACATTCGAAACCTTCTAAAAAAATCCACATTATCCAAAGTTTCAAAATACTTTGGTCGATTCTTGATAACTCGAGGTCTTCTTTCTGTTTCTTCTCCAGAATCAGATCAGGAACCGAATCGATCTAGATTTTCGATAAACTGTAGTGCTTCCATATTATAAATAGTATACCCGGTTCGCTATTCCCAGTCCGAACTGTCTAGTGAATTTAGTAATTATTTTTTTTGCGAAGTTAGTTACTTTTGACAGACTTAAAGTGGCTGGAAATTACTATACAACCAAGCACACGTACTTATAGCCAATATTAATAGTAAACAAACTAAATAGTAAATAAAATAGAACTTTGCTAATTACAGGCAATTAATATTTATTTATCTGCACCATATAATAAATATTTATGTTAAATTATAACAACTAAAATATATTTTTTAAATATATACTACCCAAAATTTGATGAGTTTAGTATACATTTCCACTATTTAGAATAATTCTTCTTTTTTCAAAGAAAGAAGTCTGCAATAGTAATATACTTGAGCTATTAGTACTGAGAAGTAGGAATTGTTGTGTTGTATGTTTCCGACAATGAGTCTGTCAAAATATGCCCTAGCTAAGCGAATGGAGAATACCAAAGCAACAATTAATTAATATAAAATAATACAAAAAGTACATCCGTCAAAACTGTTAAAACATAACCTCACTTTTAACTATAAGTAATACCTAAACTGTTTAGGGAGATCGCAAAACGTATCCTACCATTACGTAATGCTTAAGCGGTTTAGGCAATTCTTAGCGTATGGTGAAATCCGTTTAAAGGTCGATTCAGACACATCAGTCACGTCTCGTCACAGTGATTGCGCCGAACCGAACAATCCGACATACAAAATATTCTTTAATACAAATATGTTGCCGGCATTCACACTCATCAGTTGACAAACAGTTTCCCAGCTGTCAGATAGTTGATAGTTCTGTGACCAAACAGGACCGGTTCGGCGCCGAGACTATGACGCGACTGATGTGTCTGAATTGACCTTTAGAGTTAGGAAGTACCTAAGCCCGCTTAGGTAATTCTTAAATATTTAGGTATCGTCGGTGAAATCGGGCATTAGTGCCATCTATGAACCTATGATGAAACCTATATGGATATTTTTAACAATATGTCAAATGCACATGGCTGTCTTATTA